GGTTTTAGTATCGGAATTTAATTTGTTTAAATTTAAAAAAACAAATTCTGCAAAGTAAATCTAATGTTGGGAAAATTTTCCATATAACTATTATCGACATTTCATTTACACAACAGTCAAAACTACATAAACGGAATGAACCTCATTTTATATTTAGCCAAGGACTGTTGTCTCGTCAATGCTATTGAGTTTTGCTTACCGGTAAAATTTGAGGAATTCCTTATACCGCTAGAAAACCAAATATACGTTGTTGTTGTTGTTGTAGCGGCAGAATTTTGTCGAGCTGACAGTCCTTGGCCGGAAAAAATCCGGGTCCGTTCCGGTTACGTAGACCCGACTGTTATGGGAACGGTGACCAAATATACGTATTACGCATTGTTGCTTCTGCTTATATACCCTGAAAAGGATTTATTAAATTTGCAACGAAACCCTGTAGGAAACGACGGAGACGGATATTGTATATATATACATGACCAGCAATTTGGCACACGCCTTCTTATCCCCAACAAACTGCTTATTTGTCGTAACGGCGGATATCGGATTACTATAGGATAAAGCTGTCAAACAAACTGATCGATTCAACTCAAGTCCCTGTATGAAAAACTTTTTTACTCACGAAATTTGGCATATATTACAATATTATCCCAAGCATCGCTACAATCTCCGAACAAATTGTTTTGATCGGACAACCACTATATATATATATATATAAGAAGTTAACATTGTTTCTTGTTTTTGGTTAATAATAAACCTAACTATCTGACATTCACTGGGCTTAGCCATTAGCAGATGTCCTTAGTAAAGAAGGTCGATAAGCTAGTTGAGATTAAATTACGATATTCGAAAAATTTACTGAAAAGAAATATTCGCTAAGTAAATGACATTAGCTAATATAATAGCTAATTCGATAAATAAATATTAGCATATAAATCATTCTTAAATACTGCATCTATTTTCAAAATCTTCGCAAAAGAGCATTTCTTTATTATATACTTGTATTAGTTACATTTATGTAAACTATATATGTATACAGTTGTGTGTATATATTTTGTTATAAATATTAAAATTGGACGGTTTTCTATATAAAAAATTTGGACGGAATGTTTCAATATAAGGCACTAATTATCAAAGTATAAATATTTTCAATTACGAACTATTCGAGAATACATATGAACAAGCTGCTTATTTCACATACAAAAATGTGTAGCTGTAATATAATCTACCTTTGTGCTTATGTTGCAAAATGCACTGCGTACATTATTTTGTAGAAATGATGCCATATAAACGTGATAGCTCACATTTTTTGTATGAGTACTTCTTTAACAAGTCATACCTTCATTATACTTAGCCTAAGGTATTTGTTTTTATAAGTGTCAATTTTTGAACTATTTTGGAATTATTTTAGTAATATTGTTTAAAAAATAGTAATTTTTTTTAAAATACCTAAATGAAAAATGAAATAATTTGCTTCTCAAAACTCTAACCGAAAAGCACATATCATAAAGAGAAGTGGTACGGAAACCATTAATTGCGCCGCACCAGCATAACAATCAGTGATACGTCGAGCACGCATAAAGTTGCTGCCCAAGTAGATGTCGTATTGACGTTGATTAGGCGGTATGACGCGTAGTTGGCGTGTGGCGTCTTGGAAGATTAGATCGTAAAAACCCATCGGGGAAGAGAACATACTGAAGCTAAACGTATCGGCGTTTTTGCGACCGTACAATTGTTGAGCGTAGGTTAATAAATTAATGTATGCATTAATTTGGGTGTCATTGTAGTTGACACCACCACGCGTAACAATCGCATTTGCCTTAACCTTACCCAAATTACATTTTTTGTAGTCATGCAATTCAGCGCGAGTACCTGTAATATTTTTTGTTTTTAATTAGGGTTAGGATACATTTTTCGGTTATAATTTACCATCTGTACAAAGTAGTTCAAAATCGTCGTTGAGCGTATTTCGAGCCCACCACTCTTTACGTTTGCCACCCGTACTCTCCATAACGGTGGTGTGCTTCATAAAGGCTACATGACCGCCGCCTTCCACTAGACAACGGAATGCACCGGTATGACCATAGTAATCTTCAGATGCATCACGTCTACAATAACGATAGCTAGTGCCATGGCAGAGATCACACATGCTGTCGTAGGGTACGCCAGTGTTATATTCATTACTGATAGCGCCAGGTAAACAAGACTTCGTGAAGTATTCAGCAGCAGCACGTATTGAATCGCAACCGTATGGGCGTATCCAACCGTTTGATATAAGGAAGGCCATCGGATAGGTCCAACCAGCAGCGGTGTTAATGCCTGTGTGACATGTGTACTTGCCCTTTAAATATGTCAGCTCAGTGTCCGGATCTTCTTCCTTCGCGACGGCTACAACATAATACTCCGGTTCGCCCAAATTGTAAACTTCAGACATAAAAGGAAACAAGTCATAATTCAAACCACCAGTATATACATCGCCAGCATCAAATACGGCGATATCAGCTTTTCCGGATTGGATCCCTTCCATGCACTTAATATGCGAATGCATCTTTTTGCATATCAATTCAGGTTTTAATATTTGCGCTTTTAAAGCAATCTAATGATATAAGGATGTGATTTATTAAAAAAAAAAATTTTTAAAGGAAAGGATATCTACCTTCATTTTAACACATTTTTCAAGTTCTGGATCGGATGTTACACATAATGTCATACTGGGTACTGGACAATCCCGTATGCCATAGATGTAAGTCGTTGTGCTTTGTAAATATTTGCTGAATGATTGATCATCTTCCGGGATTAATACTAATGATCGTGCAGAATCCTGCAATTTAAGCATTTGCCATAAATATATAATTTTAAAATTTGCTTATGGGTTTAAAAACAAATAACTTTTTTTTAAACAGCTAATTAGATTGAGAACGCACCTGAAACATAAGGTTGGCTTTGCCGTGTCGACGTGACTCAAATATGCGGAATTTTTCATATAGAATAGTTTCATTCGTACCTTCCGGGTAATTGCGATCTGTTGTGAAACTTGAGTCTAAACGATCATTGCGGAAACCGTTATTAGCACCATCGTACTTATCATAGGGGTTTCTGTTGTATGTATTGGAAGTGTCGTATGGGTTATTTGCATTATAAGGATTATTGCTATTTACTCCGTAAGTGTTGCTGTATTGATCTTTGTTATTAGCGTTGTAATTGAAATTATTTCCTGCTTCACCATTTAATCGTCTATTTTGTTCATTCGCTTCTTCACGCAGAGCATCTGAATAAAGTTCAACCACACGTCTCAAAAATTGCTGAAATTTCTTTCGTTCGAATGAATTCCGTGCAGAGGATGTGACGACTGCATCGGAGGGAATAACTCCCCAGTTGCATTGGCGGTATTCGCTGACAGGCACCCGACGGCCATCTCGACAAAGCAGTTCGAAACGATCAGGCGATAAACTACCTTTATTTTGAAAGAAAGGATCGAATTAAAAAGAAATAAATATATGCATTTATATTATCATCTTACTGAATTCGTTAGTTTGCAACATTTCCGAGACTGTTGAGTCACGTAGAAAAGCCACTTCGCCAGCTTCGAGGAGACAACGGAATGCACCATCATAGCCGAAGTAAGGATCTCTCGCCGAACATCTACCACCAGGTATTTTACCTGTACACAGCGTACAAAGTCTGTGACAAAAAATATATTAAAACTTTTTTATAAGTGTGCAGAATAATTTGTAAAGCGCTCACTTATCAGAATTATCGCCAATCGGATTATATTTGTTGATCAATGAGTAAACGGCACATGAATTATTAAAATAATTGGCAGCGGTTTTCACTTGGTTGTTACAGTCAACCACTTCCATGCCTCCCTCTCGTTGCAACTGCATATAAGAAGGCAGTTAGCGTTAATAAATATTTAAAATACAGCACCAGTTTATTCCAATTACCGTATATATGGGCACAATCCAACCGGCCATGCTACCGACCCATGGGAAGCAGGCACGTTTGTTCCGCAACTCTCTTAAACTGTAAACATCTTGCAAAGTATCCTTTTTGACAACAGCGACAGCATGATAATTTGCCAGACCTCCAACAAACTTCTCTTGCATTATTGGTACTAAAGAATTGTATCTACCAGCCGTAAAAACATCTCCTGCATCTAGTGTTGTTACATGTGCTTTCTCATGATCAATATGGTGAATACATTCATCCGCGCTGTAACCCAAAAAACATGTCAGATTCAAAAAAGCTTCATCAAATAACGCTCGATCTCGTTCAATGGCAACAGTTAGGTTCTGACATTTATATTGCTCTTCAAGAGATTTTGTGCACCAAATCATGTTTTTAACTTGTCGCTCATGTTCATAGTGATGTTGAGCATCTGAGAATGAAAGAAAATTTTGTGACTTTCGGAAAATTTTAATTCAAAATGAAAAATTGTATAAAAATCTTAAGTTATAATGTAATTAATATGTATTAAAACATTATTAAATTAAGCAACGCCCCAATAATTGTTGATTTCTGAATGCGTCACCAAAATTAAGCAGTTTAACTTTCACACCGTATGTTCTTTGGATCTTACCTATATCCTTCCCTTGCAACAGGTATATAAATATGCTCAGTAAACATATTTGCAACATTTTGAGGTAGTTTTCAATACTCTGCAATAAATATTAAGAAGTAAAAATTTTGTTTACAGCAAATAATGAAATGACACACCCAACAAAATGTTTAGAATGGCGGCAGTGCCAAAGCAAATACCAATGACAAATAACGACAGCGAACGTCAATGCAAGAAAATTGAGTGCATGTTTAGGTTCAGCTTTAATAAAAAAATATATATATATATATATATATATTATTAATTTATAAACAAATTGCCTTAATTTGCATATTTAATTATATGTATATACTATCCATTAACTATTTTTTTTTAAATATCGTAGTTAACACAGCTGCTTGGTCTATCAGCTATTTTACTATAGTTTTAGTTTACTTATGGCAACACTATTACTTAGGGTCAGCTGTTGACCGGTTATCAGTTCGCCCAATTAGATACGTGGATTTGCTGAGAATAGTTAAATTCTGATTTTATCCATTGTTAACATTTTAACAATTTTACTTGATTTAAACATTTTGCATTTAATTACCTCAGTATTTGTGTAATCAAAATATTCCTTGTGTAAAATGTCGACAGCAAATTTACAAAGAGATGAACTCTTATTGCTTTTTGATGTGGATGGTACACTGACCTTTCCACGCACCAGTATTCAAACAGAATTTGAAGCATTTCTTTACTCAAAGGTGAAGCCACGGGCGAATATTGCAACTGTTGGCGGTTCTGATTTGGAAAAAATGTTTGAACAGTTGAACGGAAAAAAAATACTTGAGGAATTTGATTTTCTCTTCCCTGAAAATGGCTTGGTGCAAATTGATCATGGGAAAGAAGCTGGAAAACAAAACATAATACAACACCTTGGGGAACCCATTTTGAAAAGCTTTATTAATTTTGTACTGCATTATTTGTCTGAATTGGATTTGCCAATTAAGCGTGGCACCTTTATAGAATTTCGAAATGGTATGCTGAATGTTTGTCCAATGGGTAGACAATGTACGCGTTCGGAGCGTAACATGTTCGTTGAATACGAGAAAAAACATACAGTTCGTGAAGATATGATTAAAATACTTCAAAAAGAATTTGCTGATGTCGATCTACAATACAGTATTGGTGGCCAAATCAGCTTTGATGTGTTTCCAAAAGGTTGGGATAAAACATATTCCTTGCGATACATTGAAGCCAACTACAAATTTAAAGAAATACACTTTTTTGGTGATAAGACTGAACCCGGTGGCAATGATTACGAAATTTTCATTGACCCACGCGTGATATCGCATAAAGTCGCTACGCCTGATGACACGCGTCGTATACTTACAGAATTGTTGCAAATATCCAATCCTTAAAATGCATTTTATTAATGTTTTCCGTTGCTTGCTTCTTCTAACATTTAATAATTATCGTGTAATAAATATATAGCAAAGTATTTTTCTAGATGACTTACAAAGACGAGAATCTATGTAATATCCGAGTTTATTAATTATTGTAATTAACAGTTAATCAGTTTCCATTCCCGTATTTCCATCGGTCTCGTCATCACTGTCGCTATCACTTTCAGAGCTGTCATCGTCATTCTCATCCGAATCGCTACTTTCACTGTCAACCCAATCATGCGCATTCATATCGTTGGGAATGATAGATTTCCATTCTTCTAATTTATGCAAATCCAATGCATAAAAATCGTTGAATGTGTATTGCTTATTATCTTCTTCATAAAGCCCACCATATACGTATAGCACACCTTTGGATACGCATAAACCAGAGTTCATGCGGGGCGAGGGCACATTCTTCGGCCGTCTATTTGGAAACAAACTGGGTACTTTCGGTAAAGACACATCACTACTTGCACTGGGACCGGCTACTGTAACGGTAAAGACACCATCTGTACTTGTAGTCCCTGTCGAGTTTGTAGCCACTTCCATTTCGACATCCTTCGCCGTCGTCTCCTTGTTTTTCTTGTTAATGATCTTTTCTTTTTTAGCAATTTCTAATAATCGCCAGGTTTGCGTAGTTAAGTCCAATGACAAAAGCTCATCGCCGAACTGCCCTTTTATATCTTCCTCATCTTCATCTATGTCCATGACACCACCAAAACAATAGGATTTACCATTAGGAGCCGTGGTACAACTAACACTACTTCGTGGTAGAGGTCTATAACCGCCAGGTTTTACTGTAACCCATTTAAATTTAACGTTGGGGTTGGTCTCTGCAGTACAAAATATTACAATACATTGTTAGAAAAATAAAAACATTAACAGTATTTACCACAAGTTTACAATAAAAAACTTACTATCGGGCACAAGTGAGAACATATCTGTGTGTACTACACCACGATCCGCATCTTTCTTAATTGCTGCTTTTGAATAACCACCCCATACAAGCACTTTGCCATCAGGACAAGAAGCCATACAACAACCGGAACGCGGTGCTGGTACAAGGGCACCACTTACGTCCACCTTCAACCAAACGTATGATTCCAACGAAAATATGTGCACATCATTAAAGTAGCGGTAAGATTGATTATTATCGTGGAAGCCTCCAAAAAGAAATAAACGTTTTTTGTTGGCAACCATTCTATGGCCGCTACGGGCACTTGGTCCATTTGGTGCATTCACTTTTTCCCATGTTCGCGTTTTCATACGCATCACCCAAAGATCTTTATAATGATAAAATTGTAGCTGTGACGGACTGGCATGCTCGCCACCGAAAACCTTAAAAAATACATATATATTTTAGAATACGTAAAATAATATTTATAAAATTTTACCCATAATTGGCCCCCATCCGTTGCTACGGCCACCATTTGATGACCGCTGCGTGGTGCTGGTCCCGCCGGTGATCGCACTTGTTTCCATTCATTTTTCGCAATATTATAGAAGAATAAATCATTGTAAACGCAAACGCGTTGACCATTATAAAATTCGCCTCCAAAAAGTATGAGCTCGTCCTTTTCGGGATGCGCAACCAAAGTGAAATTTGATCGTGGCGTTGGTGGTGGACAAATCTCTTCCGTGACGGTTTTACGCCGTGTTTCCTCAGCCTCTAATTTAGCTACAACATCTGCTATATCAGTCTATAAATGTGATTGCGAGATAAAGCTTATATTACAATTGTTTACTATTTACAATAACATACCTCACCAAGTTTCTCTAACATACGTTTCTGTTTAGCTTCCAATTTCTTATCCGTTTTCATTGCCGTCTTTTCAGCACCTTTACCTTTCTTCTTATTCTTATCCTTTTTACCCATAATTAATAAGTTATATATAAAATTTTAATTACTGTAGTTAAAATTATTAAAGAGTTTTATAAAAAAAAAACACCGGTTGCACGTGTATGATGCAGGGTTGCGTTTTAACACAATTCTCTTCTTAACAACGCAAGTATGCACATTGCGTTAGATAACTTTGGAAGTAAGATTTTTTTTATTAATTTGTCTAACTTTTTGAAAATTACTTTATTATAGCTTTTTTTATGTATTGACTATTATTATTAAATCTAAACAACAATTTTTTTTTACAAATAGAGTGGTGTCGACTTTAAACGAGACGATAAGTTTATAAATTGACACGCGTTTTGAAGCAGGTAATGATTAATAAATATATATTTGAATTTTATTTTCAAAAAACAATTGCTTCAACGATTACTTGCTTACAAACTTTCTTACTAATATATATATAATATGCTTGATTGAATTTAGCAAAGTCACAAGCCAATTTCGTTTTGTCAACAGATGTCGCTGTATATTCATGCTTGGCCGTAAAAACAAAAAAACTTGAATAATTCCTTGGATGCGTGCGGTCACAAGCCAATTTTAATATTATGATTAAGTAGTTTTAAACTGTTAATTTAAAAAACAAAACTTTTGTTTTTATCGTTGTTTAGTTTTTTTTTCCTACTTAGGTATAAAGCGTACCACAAGTTTTAAATTAATTATTTCAAAACGATTGTTGCATATTAGGAGCTTTTGCATATTCCATATCCTGACGCATTCAAATGAAAACCCAAAATTTAAAAACATGTTTATAAAAATATTTATTTAAATTAGACAGGTTTTGTATTTTTTTCATGGCTTTAGATAGCATTTGAGTAGTATACAAGCATATAATTAAATCATATTACACATATACACAGAGCCTAAGTAATAGTGGGCTTTAAAGATCCGCTTATTTTCAAAGTTCCCTATATACATATTTACATAGATTTCAATATTGTGGAACTTGCAAACTTCCACTGCTCGTCGAAGTTCGACCATTCATCGACCAATTCGAATCAAAACCATAAGCACAATCCGAGTCCGAATCCATTAAAGTATCTGATGGTACACAGCCAAGTGGTGCTCGTTTTTGGTTAGGCGTTGTTGGCATACTGCTATAGCCAGCAACTAGATTCGTACTGGAATTTGACGATGAAATGGAATCACGTGGAGAATCAGTTACAAGCGACGATGGTACGGATGAACGCATTGCCGTTGTCGTCGTGAATTTTTGCCTCTTTTTTACAAGCGAATCGATATTTTTCGGTGGTGGCATGACTTCTTTGTCATCTTGATCATCTTCATCATGATGTTGTATATTATCAGCCGAACCCCATGATTTATGTAATTTCTCAAATTTTCTCTGTAAACTATTCATGTTGATCGGAACGCTACCCCGTGAGCCTATATTATGCTTTTTGTTATTACTTTTACTACTAGATTTGCTGCCAATCGTATCAGTGCCTAAGGGTTTGGTCTTCATCGTCATCGGATTCCGTGTCATACCAGCGGCAGGATGATGACGATGATTTTGCAGACGGTGTTGGTGAGACCGCTGGTGATGGCGACTTGCTGCTCCCGTTTGGGAGAGTGTGTGCCCATTTCCCACTCCCAAGAAGTTGCTGAATGCTTCGGTTGTCTTCTTCACTCGGACATTCAAAGAACCAATCCGAAGGAAGCCGGAATCTTTTTCCGCTGTTAAAAAATTAAGACAAAAGTTAGTCATATAGAAACTACAAACGTTTTTATTAATTTTAAAATTAAATAAGTATAATTTAGTTGTGTCGGACTGTTTATAGGACCTATTCGAACCATTATAATATGTTGTAAGCAACATGAACACATCAATCCATGCTATTGTAAGTTTGAGAGACAATGACTTTTAATTGATGCCTCAACAAATAAGCAAATATTTTGTCGGCGCAGGGCTCCCAATATATGTAAGATGACAATTTGCAAAAAAATTAAGAAATCGGTTTATCTTAAAATAGATATAGAAGTATTTCAGCGAGAGTAGGTTCAAGCGACCCCTAACGTGTGAAACTTTATACACGTCCTTCTCTCCCCAAGAAGCATCTCATTTGTCGGAACGGCCGATAACAGACTTCTTTAGCATATAGCTGCCATACAAACTGAACAATCAAAATCATGCCCTATGAAATGACTAATATATATGTATGTATACATATACTATATAAATAAGCACTAAGTGCTCTGATTTTTGGCTAAATATTCTGTATATTGCAAATAATATTGAGTAATATTATATTTGTAATTTTATTTTTTTCAATATTAGCTTTAGGGTAACAGTTGTGATCCTAAACATTTTTATGGAATATATCTATATATTCTACATAGATCTAAATTAGAAATAGATCTAAAATACATATTAATGGTTTGAAAAATATTTGAGCTCACCTGTAGTTTTTTTCTTTGCCTTGATTTCTGTAAGGATTCGAAGGAAAAGCGACATTTTAGTTGAATTTATAACATTTGATATAATGCCAAATTTTAATTAAAGGTTAAGCGAATGTACATGCAAATGCTGAGTCTTACTACATAAATACATACTTATCGCGGTGTGCTCCAGAAGCAGACGGTTTAATGATATAAAAGTGCAAGTATGGTAAAGTCAAGAGAGTAACAAATGCGTGCAACAAAATTTACTAAAGTAAAAAGTAAACCAAAAAGTACTTACCGTTAGAGAAATAATACAAAAGAGGTTTTCCGAACGCAAAGCTAGTACCAGATAATAGAGATTCTACAATATCTACAGCATAAATTAAAGCAACGCGCTACTAAAACTAAATAAATTTAAATACATATATACAAAATATAATATATAGTTTAAGGAATCAAATACAAAATACAATTTTTAGTGTCAAAATCTAAGTATCTAAAAATTTGTGCAAAATACAATTTATTAAAACAAATGACACAAACATAGAACACGTAGCAAAGAACGCAAATTTAAGTGTCAAAATAAAAAACGCATCACAAAATGTCATAAAAAAAAGAAACGAATAATAATTTCAAATATAAGGAATGCAAATGTAGGAGCTGCGTTAGTCAGCGCTTGCTTCAATCGCTTGATCAAATAAGTCTTGAACTCTTTTACGCCGGCTAGGCTTGGTTGCACTAGGTTCAACTTGCCTCCAGGAGTTAAAGGTGCCACCAGCAACGCTACCACTTTCGATCACATGTT